CTTCGCTCGTACTTTCCGCCTCGCTTTGATAAATCGGCCCGGGAAATGTAATTCCGCATACGCGGTCGCGATATTCGCAATGTTCGCATTTTTTTGGCGGCACTTTACGGCGGGTTCCACGTGAGAGCTTACTGGAGAGAAATGGTATATTCCGACCAAACTTGGAGTTACGGCACCGAAACTAATGTTTTTGTTGGTAAAAGTTCGGGAGCAAGTGAAAATTTAAATTATATATATCTCTCTCTCTTTTGCCCCTCATTTGTTAAACGTGCCACAATGCGGGAATCGTTATACTATCTTTAACTCTCTATTACTTAAAAATGTCGTGCACTAGCGACTCATCAAATTTTTGAACCGCATTTGCTATCTGATCCGAATTTGGTCACCTCACCCCATTGTATAACACAAAATAAGGGGAAATGACGGTTGTTCTATCAATACGATTGTTCTAAATTATTCGTACTTTCTCTCTGGAGCACAGTGTCGCGTAGAAGCGAGCGTGTACGGCGCGGGGCGCGGTGCGAAATTGGGAATTTTTAACATTCCCGAACAATTTCCGATGCCTACGGAGAATCGTCATTAATCCGATTTTTGCCGGCAATCCGATTAAAAAACCCGGCATCAACCGGGGCACTCTGATGCGATTTGCGAAACGCGGCCGTAAAGCTCGACGTCGCGAATGTACGCTCGAACGACGACGGTAAATCGCAGACAATTAATACGCTCTCCCACACGTCCGGCCCGCGTTTTTCACAATATTGTCTGGAGCACTTTAACGCGACAGATTCGTTTACGGCGCGAGTGAGAAAGGCGGCACGAAAGCCCGCGCTGCGCGACGGTAGAAACCGCGATTAATTATTTTCGCGAGTAAACTTGCTTTTTAATTGCATATTGTCGTGCAATCAGGTGAATTATTTTCCCCACGAAACTGTCACGCCTCGTCTGCGCGTTCTGCTCGAAACATACATGTACCCATCTCTCCCTCTCTCTCTCTCTCTCTTTTTTTCATTTTGTATATTGAGCATCAAATTCCTAGGTCGGTGGCGGATATGCAGCTCGATACGGGCCGCCGAAAGAGTCATTTCATGTGCCACCGCGAGCTTCTCGCGTATTACAGCTGACATCGATATTTTGATACCAGCTTTACTGCTAATTCGCCCACCTCTAAAACCAGCCGACTCATGGCCGCACGTATAAATAGTCGCAATGTTTCGCCTTTTCCCTCGTAGCGTTCGCCACGATACGCATGCCGCACATGTCGTTTTAATACGTTCGCTGCGGGGCCTCTTATCTCGATTTCCCGTCGTGATGTAACGCAGAATTTTACGGCCGTGCGCGATACGCTATAAAATTGGGTACCGTAATCCGGCGGCGAACAATTGATACGCCTCGATTTGCGCGTAGCTTTACGAGTTCGATTAATCAGCGTCGTCGAATGCATTAAAAGTGAGAGCCCGAGGAGACGTCTGGATGCAACAAACGTTTAATAATTTTAATCTCCCACGTTAAATCAAACGTTTCATCGAGGGGTAAACCGCTGAGGGCATTGCAAATTTCTGGCATTACTAGGCTGAGAAAAATGCTTTGATTGTGTCAACAAGACGTGTATGAGAGAACGTATTTTGGTTAAACCAAACAGAATTTCTAGTTTCACGATAGAGCTCGATACTTCATAACCAGAAGTTTGACTTCACCACGCATCTGGTAAATCTTAAAAGAATTCCGACTCGTCCATTTGTTAACAGACGACTGGTTGAATCTACCAGATTTCGAATTAACGCAACCAGATTTTTTTTCAATGTAGGCATTTTTTCGGCATTAGTGGGTGTTGTTCAGCCTTGCTGGGGCATTATAAAGAATCAAGAAGATGAAAAAGATAATGTTAAATTAGTAGACGCAAGGAAGGGCAATAAGAGCCAGACGCTAGATGTTAGGTGCGGGAATAATAAATTCTATATAGATTTGAACAACTTGTGCGATCCTTATCAATGATATATAACAATTATTGAGTGTTGAGAGGACAAAAAATTTTAAAGAGATCATATTTATTATAGAGAAAGGAATATTTTAATCTTAAATGAAAAATTCTAAAATCTAGAATCGTCTTTTGTCGAATATCGTGGTGCTAAAACTTCGTGCGTTGTAGGATGGAAGAAAAATTTATTCCAAACGCAAGAATATAAACTTACATTTATACAAGTTACTCTTGTCTCACTACAGTAAGTCAATCTTTTTTAATTCGATAGACGAGAATAAGAATGATTGATTTAATTTTGATATTGTCTTATTTTTATACTAAATGAGGTTGTGAGAAATATAAATGAGTCAAGAATAATATTTTTTGTCACGGTAACATAAATCCTTTCTGAGGATGTGGTGTACATGATTTTGGTCAGCGGTTTGCCCCTCGCGTTTCACCAATCATTATTTCCAATTCTATAATTTCATCGTTTCCCCGGGGAAGACTATTTTTGCCCGGACGCTTTCCGCACAGGGACGTAAAATAATCGGCGCAAAAGGGCCGTTAACGAATTATCAAAGAGTACAAACACAGTTACCTTAACTTCGACTAATTCGATTAAAGGGCCATCGATTAATGCGCAATGTAATAATATTTCGTTGTACCATTGCGTCAAGATTATATACCGCGCTCGTAACAGAAATATTAATGAAACATCTTGTCACCTCGTATAAATAGCTCAGATGCTTTCTCCCGTTTACGCCGTTCGTCTCGCGTTTCCCAAATTCAATTCCGTAAATGTCTCAAAGCAGATCGACGCAATAGTGTTTCTAGCACGTTACCACGGGTGTCGCATTGACGATAATTTACGAGTAGACGCCATCGCGCGAGAATAATTACGGAACGTCCCGACAACCACGAGACGAAACGCAGCCTGCGCCGCGAATTCAGTTTTATTTATTAACGTTTATTTTATCGTGTAAAACGTCACAATTTATTTCGTTTCATCACGCGCGCGCGGAATCGCGGGGTTTCGCGAAAATGTTTGGGGGAAACGGGTCGCGGCTTAATTAATATCTGGAAACGCGGGCGATCAATTTTGAATAAATCAACGTTGGAACGAACGACATGAGGGATCAGCGGAAATGCAAAATTTAAGAGACGCATACATTATCGCGGAGGTAAAGGAACGCATACATTACCGGTGCACGGCCGGCGGTTTAAGTCGACGGTGAAAAACACCGGCAAAACGTGACGAAAATTTCGGCGTACGTACAAAAGCCAGATCGTTTCCGCCCCGGCACCTTTCCCAATCTCTATCGTGGGAGCGCTTTAATGCCAATTATATGCAAATTCGACCGCAACCACCCGCGAGCAGCGGGTTTAATTACAGGTTGTTCGTTTGATTTTGAACTTTAGTGTGCGGCCCTTTCGCGGAAAGTCGTTCAACATTCGTACAAGTACCTTATTTTGCGCTCAATTACGCTCCTTTGCGCTCGAACGTCGCGTGAAATGATAGAATTACGCGATTGCAGAAGAAATCGCGAAGATACCTACGACGTATCGCTCGGCAATGGCGATCGTAAAATATGTTTACAGAGAGGATCGCGAAAGTGACAATCAAATGACGCGAAGAAAGGAATTTTAAACACTTGTAAAATTTACGTAATACGCAGTTCGTACAATTCGTGCAGTTTCAGAACTTCGACATGTCTAAGCTTGACACGCATAACGAGAGCAATAAGGAATAGAGAATTAAACGTGAGGAATTAGGAATATAACGGAATTGAATTTCAATCTATGGAAAGCCACACGTGCGTTCACAACGAAGGAATCCCCAATTCCTGGCTTTCCATACGTCGAAATTTAATTCCCTATTTCTAATTCCTTGCGTTTAATCTCTCGTTCCTTATTCCTCTCGTCGTGCCCGTGCCTTAAGGGGACGCTGGAGTGATTCTGCACCTTTCGCACTTTCTGCATCTAGAACTGTCAATCCATGAGAGTATTTGTGCAATACGCAAATTATGTGGCTTTTGTGTGCAGACCGACAGTGTTCCACTGATCGAATTTTGCAATTTTATAAAGCCACTTTCAAATTGCTCATGAATAAAAAATCGAAAATTTCAAATACCACCTTCTTTTTCTTTAGACTTCTGAACCGAGTGTTTTGAAGTATGAAAATGTTCTGCTATGCGGTCCGCAACTTATGTTATATAGAATAAAATCAACATTTTATTCTGTAAATTTTAACAGATAAATTTTGTTACTAATAATATAGAAGATGTGTATTGTGTCAGATTAAAAACTAAGTACACAATAATTTTACATTTGAGGTAATGCAATTAACACAAGAGCAATATGTTAAATTAACACATGAATGTGTTAAACGTTTAACAGAAAAAATTTTACTGGCATTTTTTTTTACAAGAAACAAATTTTCCACCTGTGTATAGGTTTCGGTAAAAAAAGATGACTTTATCCCCGAATGTTTAAGCAGAAAAATAATAAGCGGAAATTTCGAAAAAATTGAGATACGACCTTGCGAAAGAGATCAGTCGGTCTTCATTAAAGACCTCGCGTAACGACCGGAGGGTTAACAACTTTCGATCTTCCGGATACGATGCGGACTTGAGACGGATCGGGAATGGACGAACTGAAAAATCCGAGAAAATCAAGCGGGTAGTAACTATCTACGGAGAGATAATCCCGGCTCCGCGACCTGCCGCGCGTATAAATTGCAACTATAAAAAGCCGCGCCGCGATTAGAAGCCGCAAGAAACGAGCGACGGAGACGCGCGGCGAATCCTATCAGGATAATTTACGTTCATGGCTTGGGGGAATCAATATCACGCGGTTCGCGCAGTAAAATCCATCTTATCGCGTAGCAAAAGGAGAGGAGGATATTGTGCGCGCAGGTACTAAACGTTATCTTATATATTATTCTTACTTTATTGCCGCGAGTAGGTACACGCGGCAAAGTAGTTTCGTCGCGCGCGAGCTGAAATCGACGTCGCGATGAAGCCTCCCCCGTCGGCGAGGCAAGATTTCAAAATCCGCGAGGTCGTCGCTGTGTCCGTGCGCTACAAAACTGTCAACGCGCGTCGCGCGACGTCGGGGAGCTTCCGGGTGAGACCCCGGCGTCGAACAGCCGGCCGGAAGTGCTCGGGGAAAACCTCGTATCTCCGCCCGTAACAAGGCCGGACCGCGTAGCCGCGCTGCTCCTCGCGCAAACAAGGCCATTAATTTTCAGACCGGAAATTGGCGGGTCAATAATTTGCCGCCCGGGCCCGATAGATTTTCATTTTCCGTCGCACAGGCGCGTCTTCGGCAACGAATGCACGATTGATTCGGGCACCGGGACAAGCGCCGCGCTCGTCCGCTGGAACACCCGGACGCGCCCGTTGCTGCCAGTGGTAAATATCAGGGCGGCGGTACGACGCCGTTTGTTCCCATTTCTCTCCGCCTTTATCGGCCCGGCCATACCGGACTGGTCGTTTCGGTAATGTGTGATTTACGGCGGCGGATACGCCGCACACATGGCATTCCTCCGCCGTGGAAGTCACGTCCCGCCGGCGCATTGTTCCGATCCGGTACGAGTCCGCTGAAAAAGCGTTGCATCGTTTCCTGTCAATGATGCAGACGCGCGCTGCAGAGAATGAGACTGTCCGCCGTTCTTTTATTTCTCTCTCTTCCCCTCCCTCTCATGTATGTTTTCCTGTATATTTTCTCTTGTATATCGGACGGGCGGAAAAATAATGAAGAAACTCTTTCTCTCTCTCTCTCTCTCTCTCTCTGGATGTAGAGTTGAAGCGACGTGGCAGCGACGATTTTAAACTGATTTCAGTGAAACTGTGTGCTACAGTTAAAATTTCTTTACGAAAAGGTCACCTCTTTCGGAAACGGTGACTTTGTCAAAAATTCTGTTCCGCGAACCTTTCAGAGAGAAAGAGAGAGAGAGAGAGAGGAAATCAAAATCAGAATCAGAATCATTGTTTACAGGATTGGAAAAGTTACACTTTATAAAAGTATCTAGTTACAGTTACAGTTTTTTCGCTAAAAATGCAACTAGTTACAGTTACAAGTTACCAATTCTGAAAAGTAACGCGTTACAGTTACAGTTACTCAAAAAATAACGAATCGTTACTTTACAGTTACTTTCTTGTAATAAGAATATCAAATCTGCATTTGCAAGGCCTAATGCGATCTGTGGAGGTTGAAAAAATATATAAAGTAACTTTTAATGTAACTATTGAATTAGTTACTAGTTATCGAAAAAATGTAACTGAGTTAAGTTACAGTTAGAAACGGAGAGAATGTAATGAAGTTAAGTTAGAGTTTTACCAAAAAAAGTAACTGTAGCTGTAACTTACAAGTAACGAGTTACTTCCCAACCCAGATTACTTATTACACGCTCTGGGACAAATCCCCGTGAGAGCAAAAAGTTACAATAAAAAGTATAGCTGTGAGTGCGAACGCAATTTATAAATGTGTATAAAAATATGCGAGTGTAGAGTATAAGAATTATATAAAATGGGGTTTCTGGAAGAGAAATTAAAATTACCTAACACGATGAGCAGGACAGTTCCGCAGGATAATTCCGCATAACAATTCAGTAGACAAATAACAAAGATATTTGACAACCTAATACTAAAATGGCCAAACACTTGTTTGTCGTTGTCGTACTGTCCCAGACCTCAGATGCTCCGGTAGCTTACGCCTAAATTCTGCAATTTTTTCCACCTCTCGCAGTTTGCGATGGACGACTATGCCACAATTCCGCGGCAAAACTGCGGAACGACCGTTCATAAAATTCGGTTCGGCATTGCGGTAGGACCAATTTCTCCCCATGTGCTCTGGTGCCTCTATACGTCCTGTTACTCCTAAACTCAAAATTGCTGAGAGGGAGAGAGGGGAGGGGGGAGGGGATGACCGATTCCGTTGTACATTCGCGTTACGAGTTCACTTCTTTAGATTTACGATTCGATTGTTAGTCGCTGAGAGAATACCGTTGTTCGATACAATGACCGGTCAACGAGTTTGCGATGCAAAAATGACGATGCGCTCGTTGCACGCGACGTTCCGTCTAGGACTGCAATTTCCCAACAGTTTCGTTTAACTTTCGTGCACAATCCGGCGCCCCTCCGCGCACGTCAGGAACATCCCGCCGTCATTCTGCACGCGGGTTTTTCATTTCTACGACTAGCCCGGAGGCTGCACTCGTTCCTGGACGATTATTAATTCGCGTCGCAGTCTCGACTGTTCGCCGCGATTATATCGTGGGACGAAAGAGACGGTCCTTTTACCTAAATATTTCTCGTAATTCGTTTATTCGGAGTGTATCGCTGAATATTTATCACGCATACCCTGTTTATTACATTTTGTAGTTTCGAATTTGAATGCAATTAACCCGTCTCGTGCGTGGCGCGGTGTTTCCGTTGCCAGCCAATTTTAGGGGAATTTGCATTATAATTATGATCGGTTCTACGTTGTTTCTTTTTGAACCTATTCTCGGGCCATTCTTCTCCCGTCCGTCCGATAACACGTCACATTTATTCCACCGAAGTCATTCGTATACGTTACTTTCATTACAACGTGATCATCAATCGTTCTTTCGAAATGAGAACGAGAGAGGTCTTCTTGTTATCTACTTGGCGAAAAGAGCCAACTAAAAGTCTTGAGAAATGAATAGGATAATTAGATTCAATTCGAGTTTGTGTGTGAATTTTTCTCCGAGCTTTCGCGCTTTTCACAATAGATTCATTATCGTATCTTCGCAATTTTCTTGGCAGGATTTTGCAATCCGATTCACATACCGCGAGACACTCACGATACAATTTTGTACGTAATCTATGTGAAATTTCATATCTGGAGAATAAGAAAGGAAGAAGAATGTTAATGTATTATTAAAGAGGAAAAAACATGTTGAAGTCGCAACTGAAAAAGGCAGAGCGATAGGAAACGAAGCAGAATGAGATGTGAGAAAGCTAAGGCAAAATAAAATTGCACACGGAGAGGATTTTCTTTTACAATTTAATCAAGTAATCGTGGGTCGACATGGCATTTTCAAGAACTTTGAGAGTTTTTTGACATCTTAATAGTAAAATGTATACCAAGTATAATTACTAGTGAAAAGTATGGTAAAATTTCAAGAAACTCTCATAACATTCTTCGAAATGCCGCCTTGTCCCACGATTTTACTAGTAAAACGTATACTAA